CTACCATCCTTCCCTTGTAAGCGACATGCTGCCGCACACATTTTGCGGTGCAACGTGTGCGACTTGTAATTCGAGCCGCTTGCTCGGCGTTAGCACGAGTGCAGTGACCTACTACTATAAGGACTTCCCTGCATTGCGTCGTGCAGTAAAGTATCATTTTTTAACGGAGGGAAAGATTTCCTTGCGTTTTCAAGTACTCAAGGTAAACTCTTCTCACAAATGCAAGTAATCAATCAACATCGACGCTTTATTCAAAAACATTGGGTTAGCTACACGAGTGCTTGGACTACAGAAGTGGGCTAAACAGGCGCGATGCGTACTGTTGAAAGGAGCAGAATAAATTTGAGAGATTAGACTATAGAGCAAAGCGATATCATTGGAGATCTTCTTGCGCCTCAGCACATTTGTTGAAGCGATCCATAAATTCCTCGTATTTTTGGGTGGTCTTCGTTGGCAGTTGCGCGGAGACTCTCTAGAAAGGCAGAGAGATCGAAGAGTATACATGATAGAAAAGCTGAGATAACTTACAGTTGACATTATGTGTTCCATCATGGCTGCATGGATTGTCTGCAACTGTATGGCCCGCTGCACTGCGTGCATTCGACCCTGCCGAGCACGACATATGCAATCGGCAATGACGAGCCGCTGGAAATTGTCCGAATGGAGACGCTCGTGGGCGATCTGAAAACACAGGTGTTATGATAGCTTTTAGAAAATTGAGTCTAGAGAAAGGAGCGTAATATGCTCAAAGGCACGGGTCGGTATCGAATTTGTGTGTTATTTAGCTCGAAAATCAGATAAGAAGTGCATTGAGGAATGTGAATGAGGAAAAAAAGCGAAGCGTCATAGAAACAATTAAAATTTCCTTTGTAACGTGGGTCCTGCTACATGTGACGGAGAAACACAGCGCTGCGAGGAGAGGAAAATGCGAGGGAGCACGTCGTACGTGAGGACGCAGACACCACGTATGCTGCGATGATAAGGATGGCAGCGCGGCAGCACACAAAGCAAGGCCTTAGCGCCGTTGCCACGCACTTTTGAGTCACGACTGCGTCGCTCTGTGCTTGGGACCCTCTTTCTCACTCTAGGAGGAGCTACTTCCTTTTCTTCTCCCTAGCGTTAGTCCCGCGCAGTCGCAGGGTCCGCTGTCTTTGTCAGTCGTCGCCACTTTGCTCTGTCCAGGGCATCTTCTGCTGTGGCCGTGACCTCACTTAGGTCCTTCTTGATTACGTCTCTCCACCTTTTCTTTGGGGCTCCTCGCGGTCGCTTGCCTTGCACTTCGAAGTCCATCGCTGTTCTTATCGGATGATCCTGTGGCCTCCTTAGCGAATGCCCATAAATTTCACCGTAATATGTCCAAATGCTAAGATTAGTCGCCTAAAGGTGACGTAAGGCTCTAGCGCCATTGTCGCGCACTTTCAAGCCGCAACAACGGCACATCGTTATAAAAGTTTGCCAACCTATCCCATCCACTGAGTAGATTCTTCGGCACAACTTCTACTGAGCGTGTTGCTTAAAAGGAAGCGATCACGGCTCTCAGGTGTGGGAGCGTTCCACACGTCATTAA